TTTTTTTTCCTTTTGTCAACCTTTATCATAATTCGGGATAATCTTGTCTTATGCAATAAAAACTAAGATTGGGGTTTACAAGTTTATTTGATATGTATGGCATTGACACATGATAATAACAACATACAACAATAACAGTTCATAACAGTTCATAGATAATATTGTTCAATATTCAGACAGTATTTCATTTTACTTTCTTACTGGTCAACGCATGGCACAACGATCAGTGCAACAGATGTCATCAGCTGGGTAACTGTAATTTGCTGACTTCTATAGCTGTCCCAAAGCTCCATCAACTTGGACTGTGATGTCTGTGGCTGCTCTTTGGTAGCGGGTGAGTTTGTGTTCCGACACCAACTGGATCTGCATGGGCAGGTACCTGGCTTCATCGCTAAGAACTTTCAGCATGACATAAAAGTGAAGGCTTGCACCCTTGGCCTTGCGGTTGAGTCTGTTGTGCCAGCCTTCGACATCGTTGTTTGTGCGAATAGGTTGTCCAAACACAGTCCAAGCGCTGATAGGAAAGATGGTGCTGTTTATCCATCTGCGTTCAAGGTAGGTCAGCAGGCGATACATCCGGTTGTTACGCTGTACACGACTTTTCAGCTTTTGGAAGGCTGCTGGAATGTGCTCTTTTGGCAGGTAGGGAAGAGCCATCAGTTGACGAATAAACCGGTGCACGTTGTCTTGCTTAGAATAGGCGACCTATAAAGATTAAAGAACATGTTAAGTACATTCAGTTGATATTTTTATAATTGGATTAACTTGTTAATTGTGACACGTGTACGAGTTTAGTGTTAAGGGCATGACCATTTGTAATATTGCGTTTCGGTATATCTTTTTTATACATTGTTTTATGTAACCTAATACCAATAGAGGCAGAACTGTCATACGTTTTTTTAATGGTAATATATTTTTTATAATAATAAGTATGTTTTAAATAAGGGAGTGCGGAATAAGCAAAGGATTATTTTTCAAACAAGGGAAGGTTATATAGTGCAGACTATGTATAACAAAATATAAATTAGTTTTTCTTGAAATTGCAAGCTTTACAAAACGTGAAAAAGATCAATACAAAACATTCATTGCTTAATTGCTTAACCGAATAAAAAACAATAAGCCATCTGTAATTTAAATTCTTAAGTGCTTTAAAGGTTTTATACACAAAATTACACTTTATCTGTCCTGTATTTTTCTTATTTAAAGCTGATTTTTTGTCAAAGGTACATGAAATCAGAAAACGTCACTAACATTGTGCGTAACGTCATAACAATATAAATCACGCATGTAATACATTGTACCTCATTAAACAAAATGTCGATACCCGTAATTGGATTAATTAACTTGTTAATTGTGACACGCGTACAGGTTTATGGCACGTGCATGTATGGCTTATATATCGATAGAATTAATAAATAGATAATATATGAATGAATACTTTATTGCAAAAAGCATATATATGCATATGGTAGAGCAACGCAGTTTTTATGTAAAACCGACTTTAATTTAAATAAATACTGTAATTTAGTAATGTTTGGCCAAGAACAATAGAAATTGGACAAATATTTAGGCCTAATTGATCTATAGACAGGGCATGCTAATAAAAAGTGGTATTCTAGATATGTCTGGGAAATCTTTGTAGGTGTTATATTTTATTTCCCCTATGTCTACATATTTTTGCATTTTGTTTCTGATATACTCAGGCTTTAGCTCGTACGGTATTCCGAACAATGTAATATCAATGGTTCTTTTTTTATTTTCCCATTGTAGGGGTTGTGCTTGTATTACATTAAAGGTAACCTCCCTAACCTCGAATTGTTCTCTGAATATATCTTGGAAAATTTCCTTTGAGTGCTCGTCTCTAAAAGATGCCGAGAACGTATTTATGCCTGTAGACTGGAAATAGCCTATGAGGGCAGATATATCTAAATTGATCTCGCTATTTATGTAGTGTAGCATTTCTGCCGATGTAATTTTTGGTGTTTCATCTTGGGATTGTATTGTCAGGGTACAGGGCCTTGGAATCATTTTCCCTATTTTTATCCCTTCTTCGCCATCTGAGGCGGCTCTCGAGTATATCACGCTCATATTTATTTATATGTTTTATATTGTTATGATATACGACATGTTAAACATATATAGGATAATAGGAATGGTATGGTGGGGAAAGGAGTAATAAGTGCTAGTGCATATATGTTGCTTATACTTAAATCAGCAATTGCTTTGGTTCTCCTTCCCGCTTTTTTTTTTTTTAAACGTCAATTGTCGTTGTTCACACAAGACAGTTTATATACACGCATGAAGAACATAAACATAAACATAAACACAGACGGAACAAAACATATTTACAGTTATATTCACATTGGACAATATATTTTCTTATCCGACATTTTTTTAATTAATCCATATCTGACATGTTTAACTACAAATATTCGATTAGTCAAATGTTGATTGCTTTGTGAAGTTCGAAATGTCGAAACAACACACGAAGATTCCATGATGGAATATAAAAATAATATATGGAATTAGGAATCTTTTATAATATCTATGTTTCAAAATTTATTTTTCATTGGTTTGAAAGAAGTTGATCTATCAAAAAATAGGTATTATAATTCCACACCTCCAAGCCCATACTTTTGTTTCTTTTGTTTTCCATCTTTCTTTGAAGTTACATTTTTCGGTTTCGTACAAGGAAACAGAGTAAAATTTTATATTGTAAAACATACACAACCACTGCTAATGAGTAGTAACAATGCACGTAAGAAAAACATAGTAAATGTGGTATGGCTTCAATTTTTATTTACAAGCATTTATGACCCAAGCTAAGTACGGCATTATTCTTTTGATGAATGCATAAACAACTATTATGTGCATATCATTGAAATACAATAATCAATTATAATGATAACGATTTCCTTGAAAATCACACTAGTTAGTACTTTATTCAGATTTAAAATATTAAATTGTCATGAAATACTAACCTAATATCATTCCCAATATCTCTTTCTTCCCAATTAATAAACCATAGAATTTTTTTTAGATAACTATTTCTATGCATTTTATATAAATACAGCATTAAAAATTAAAATAATAAGGCTATTTAAATGGTTAATATTGTTTAATACTGTTCTTGAAAAAGTTGGAACGAACTGACCAAGCAACTTGGGACGAATTGGTTGGTACGAATCGGAGTTGGAACGAATCATCCAGATACCGAAATATCAGACACCTACATAATGGACAGAGAAAGGACCAAGTGTGGCTTTTTTAAAAGAAACAAATCTAAAAAATCTAAAAGGCATACACCTTTTGTCAGAAAAATTTGGTTGATTATATAGGGAATCACTGAAGCATGACTGGAGTGGGCCCCTACTTATGAAAATTTCTGGATTCGTCACTGCAAAAAGATGTGTCAACTCTGGTCTCAGCAAAATCCAATTTTAGAATATACAGAATCTCATGTTTCTCAGCAAGTAAAACAAGAAGAATAAACTTTTATAAGCAATATTGTAATTAGTTAGATTGACATACATGTATGTTATGGCACCTCTTTACCATGTTTACAATCAAAACATGATTGAATGCATTTCCCACTGAGTTCTAAATGACTTATACACAATTAACTTAGCTTGACAATGTGACCTAGTAGTAATATTAAAAATTAAACGCCATAGTACCAGAAATAGCTAGGCACTATAGCCATGGCTATGAATCCTCATATCATGTATATCATGTAAATATATCTGGGACTTCTAGCATGTCTAGAATTAAAATTATTATATCCTGCATTTGGTTTGAATTGTTGGGTACCTTTTTTTCTTTACATAAACAATGATAAATGTAAGCTTAAGTTAGTAGTAGTAGTGGACCAAGTTTAACCAGTTTCCATGATTTTGAAACATGAAAAAGAAACATTATTTGCAGTCATTGTATTTTGCAATGCAGTTAATCTGTTTTGTAGTGAAAATTATAAATATGGATTTATAATATATATCATATTCAAAAATTTCATCTAAATAGTTCCAGTTCATTTCAACATATTAAATAGTAGACTGAAAGCAGGGGTCAATAATTTTAATTCTAAATGTCCCAGATGGGGTATTTGTAGCCAGTGCTAAATAAGTACATTTGTATCTCTGGCACCTGCTTGTTTATAAAGAATTGTTATTAAAATTATAATATAGAGGCTGGCTTTGTAATTGTTGTTAACCTTTGTTTATTTACATCTGTAGGTTGTATGGTTTGGCAAGTGTATTACTTATTAAATGTGACAACTCTGCATGTCTAGCAACAACAGATGTGCATACCGGCAAGAGAAACCCAAATGGAAGTTATTGCATAAATTCCAAAGTTGCAATATGTATGAAGATATATTTTATCACAGACAAAACAAGTCTAATTTAAAGTAGTATTTGCAATACAGCTATCATTTTGCCACCATCTTTTTTGTTAAACTGGAACTACCAACAAGAAATTTAGCCCAAAAAATTAATTAAGTGTTCATGATAGATTTAATTAAGCTTGGTCAAGTAAAATGATATGTGACTGTGTTTCTAGTACCATCATATGATCTCCATCTTAAAACATTTTTTCTTTGTGAAAAAAATATTTAAAAACACTGCCTGACTCTATTTTCCTTGCATATGCATTTATAAACATTTAACACGCTCACTTCAATTTGAAATAGAAATAACATAATTCCATACCTAAAATTTAACATTATCTATATCTTTTGCCTATTAATTGTTTGGCCAAGTGCCTGAAAAAAGAAAAGTTCACTAGAATAAAACACTGTCTTTTATTTACAAAGTATGGAAACTGCAAAACATATTTGATTGCTGACATACCAACCTGCATTGGTTGCTAGTATAGCCAAAGCCGACATTTATTTCAATGCCTGGCACCTTATTCCAATCATGATATAGCTGAAATATTGCTCATTTGACCACAAAACACCACATATACACACATTTATCATGCAACTTTTGTATACACAGGTATGACACATGCAGGAATGGGACCATCCCATGTAAACAACTTCTTAACAGAATGCAACTTACCACCAATTAGTGATACAACATTGCGCAAAAAGGAGAAAGAGTTCAGTAAGACAATACATGATGTTGCTATGACCTCCTTCAGAGAAGCTCAACATCAAGAAAAACTTCTAAGTCATGGCAAAGTATGTCATTTATATAAATATATAAATAATTACTCATCTGCAAACATTTTTTTAAAATTCCTTCAGCATAAATACTGACTTGAACCAAATACCATTACAAACTAATCATTTTTCTTGGTATTTATTTGCTTGATCAATTATGTATACAACTTTTAAAGTCTTCATCTGACATGGAGAATACTTTTGTATGTAGGTTCAATTCCTACTGAGGACAAATGTACAACATAATGCTTGCTAAAGTCTTTGCTTTTAGCTTAAAGCTTATTGTATATTTGTTTGCATAACATATTATACAATTATGTAAATCAAGGTCTATATAATCTGCATCTTACAGAGAAATCAATCATTTTTGATATACATTCTTCAAAATGATTAATGGGTTTTTGTACATTTTTTTTCTATAGACTGGATTTCACTAAACTTGTAATTTACATGTAAGTTATTTTGTACATTATTGTTTGTTTTAAAGTACAGTTTGTGTGTTGCCAGTATATATTTATATATAAATATTTTCAAAATAATTTTCTTAGTAGACATTGTATGCTTGCATTTAGCTGTATTTACATTTTGTGTGTTAATTTATTACCGGGTACAACTACATGTATTTTGCTGAACTCAGCAGTCAAGTTTTTTCATGTGTAACCCTACTGAAAATGTAAAGTGGGATTTCACTGAAAATACCAGTGGAGTTTCATCAGAGTTCCATTGGAATACCACTGTATTACCACTGGGAAATTTGGTCGGGATTTTCATTGGACATTCATTGTTTTCCATTGGGATATCAGTGGAATATCCAGTGGGATTCCGGTGAATACTCGAGTGGAATACAGTGGAAATTCCATTGGAATACCAGTGAAAACTTCGTTGGAATACCATTGTTTTCCCACTGGACATTTATTGTTTTCTACTGGGATACCAGTGGTAATTCCATTGGAAATTGTAACAATCAACCAAAGAAAACCAGTGATATTTCAATGGAAATTGACAATTCCACTGAAATGTTAGATATCATTTTGCATGCACTGCTTATTTTTGAATGAATTAATAAGAAAACTTGAAATAAGACAATAACCATTTTAATGCAAGTCAACAATTAAAGAAATTACAACAGTTTATACATCATCCACATTTAAGACCTTTTAAACGAAAAGATCAACCTCTTTAAAATATTAACGTTGATAAATTATCATTTTTTAGTCAAAGATGTATTTACTTAATTGTACATGTAAATCATTTTTCTGGTTAAATCATTCATAAGTCCATGGTAACTTTTGGTCCTCTTGAAATCTTTCACAAATGGTTTTAATTTTCAATTTTACAAATTTGTTTATTGTGCATTAAACAAACAAAAATGTCCAGTTAACATGCATACGAAATACTTTGTCAGTTTGGTCAGTTTTCTTCATCATCCATTGATATTATTCATGAATTAAGTCCAAAGTTTCTGCATTCCAATCCTGTTCCATTAAGTCTTCATTGATTAATCTGAAAGAAAAAAATCATACATCATAACATGCATAGAATTTTGAATTAAAATAACATTACAATACCATGCTCCAGTCTGCAATTATTCAAAAATATATGTTACTGGCATATTTTATTTGTGTTTGTGTGTAATTTATTCACAACATTTATACACTAAGAGCAATTTAGACACATGTATGTCTATTATTGAAGACTATGTGTTCTCTAGATATCTTTGGCTATAGTTGTTGGGTTGCTGTCTCTTAGACTTATAACACACATCTCTTTTTATCAAAATAGACTTTTATTGTTCATGGATCAGGTGTCTCTCAAAGCCAAATAAAATAGTATGTGTGGTTCCAGTTACATTTAAAAAAAAAATTAGGGTAGGTAGGTAAGAATTTTTTTTATTTTATGGTTTTTTTTTACATTGAGTCTATCATGTCTATGGGAGCAACATTCTGACTTAAACAGTACTAACTGAAAAATGACAAAAAAATCTTTAGGGTAGGCTATTGTTAAGACTAAAAAAAAAGGTAGGTAAGGTAATTGGAACCACGCAAATATTTTTATTTAGCCTCATATTATCTTTCCCTTTGTGTTGTGTTTGTTGTTGGTTTACTATCTGGTTGAAGCATACCAGACACCTCATTTTGTTCACATAATAGCCATGATTAACCATTGTGCATGATGATCAAATCAATGTTTTTGAGATGTGTTTACAGCTTATAGATGTGAATGATTAACATGATTAATGTATTTTTATTTCAAGTGTGGGAAGGATGAAAAAATAATTCAATAAGTACCTTTCAATAATCTTATACTCAAATTTCTTTTCTGCTGCTGGTTCGTTTGTTTTCATCGTGTTTTCATATTATTGAGTGGATATTGATCGATGCACAGTCATCATTTTTGCAGCTTTGTACCTTCACCATGATCAATCCCTTTTAATATATGGACAACCTAAAAAAAATGTAAAAACATTTTATTAATAATTTTTAATTCTGGTCATGACCTGTATGCATCATATATTACTGATATTTATCATACAATGTACATATATAATTAAGAAGCTTCTTTCAGTTAAGTATAAAGACTCTAAAACACAATATTAACCTTTAGGGATTTTTTGTGTTGCATGTCCATCCAAATCAGAATATGACAAAATTAAGTTGAATGTGCCTGAATGTGTGTAGTAAACTGTAAACATCTTTCCTTGGTTGTGAAGGCACACAATGTAATTCAATATTGAGAATAATAAAATTATTATTACATTCCCACCTCCCCCTTTTCAGAACACCAAATGGTCATCCTCAAAGTGTGAACTAACAGAGCCCATGAATGAAACTAAAGGGGGTGTATATCTTTTTTTTTAATTTTAATTAAAAATATTCATGATGTAAAAATCAAATGTAAAATCTCTTAAAAATTACCTGTATCTGCTGTACGTCTGCCCTACATCAGCACATCGTCTCATCGTAAATTCTTGGTTCAACAGCTAATGTCATACCTAAATGTTCTGCCTTTAATGTCTATTTCTTTATTTATCGAAGGTTGTTGAGTATTAATTATTATTAACACGATTAATGTAACCACAGCTGGACAATGCTGGACAGGATACATATTCGTACAATATTTTTAGTTTCAAATTTGAACACATTCCGTGTATTAATGATAACGACTATCTGATTGGCCGATCGGAAATCCCGGAAATAGAGTTATCCAATCAAATCAGCGGTTATATATATAGTCTGGTAGAAAAAAAATGGCAGCCTCCATGAATGTAAACATGTGTGTTGAAAAACAACATTATAGACTACAGTTTCACGAATTTTCTGCTCAAATTATGCCAAAACACTGACATTTAGCGTACAATTGATTGGAGCGGATTATATGTGAAATGTTTCTATAGATTAACTTATATGACCCGAGTTCCAGTACCGAGTTCAGGACATGAAAATGATGAAAAATTCATCACACCGACAAAGTTAAGATACCGAAACAGTTTATAGAACAATGTGGAAAATGAAAGCCGTTCACTTTACTTTTCTCAAAAGAACAGTAGACCAGTAACAGTTAATGAACATGATGAAGTTAAAGGAGAAATAATTATATTATTGTATACATGTAGACTGTAGTGCAGGGCAGTTGCCAGTACGGTCACTTGAAGAAAAAAACGGAGTTATCCTAACAATTCGTACAGTCTGAAGATAATTTCTGCAACAGATCTGTTTAAAACGGCCCTTTTAAGAGCCATGCACATTTTTCAAAAAGAATCTTAATTGTTTTTGTTCGTTAAATCAAACAGAATCTTATTCTCAACCCAATTTGATATAAAATATTCATTTCTTTATTTATATTATCTGATTATTGAACATTTAATTTTATTTCTTAATAGTTAAAATGTATCCTTTCAATGTGTCATACTCATAGGCTATATGGTGATGCATTATATTCACCCTACATCTGAGGAGCTACCATTTTACTTATTTTATAGGGGGGGGGGTCTTTCAGACCAAATGATTATTTTCATTTGTTACTAGGCAAGTGATTTCATATCACATTTAACCATGTAACATTTTTTGAACAAATGTTTCATATACATGTATATATGTAGGTTTATGAAATATTCATTACATCCCATATATTATCATGATTATATTATTTAATTTCTTATCAGGCCAGCAAATTATATGTTACAAATTAAATCCTTTATATAATAATCATGCACTTAATTATTTGAAAAATTTAAATTAGAAGTATATATTCCTTTAAATTTCTAAGTCCAAAATTCCACTGGAATATTTGCATTAAATCAAAACTCCACTGAAATATAAACAATAATATTCCACTGGAAATTAATTGGAAAATCTTTGGAAGTTTCATTGGAAATTTCACTGATTTTCCATTGGAATTACAGTGTGAAAAATATTCCAGATGTTTTGGATGAAATTCTAATGGGATTCCATCGGAATATTTTTTTCCACTGAATACCAGTGTAATTTCACTGGAAATCCAGTGGAATCCCGTACTCATTTTCAGTAGGGAAATTAAACCAAACGTCCCTGTCTGACACTCTATCCAAGAGGGTGGCTATTATTATCTTCAAATGGCAAACAATTACAGATTTTCAGCAACAATGATCCTTGGGTTGTCCTTTTACAATTGTGTTATGCAGCCCCAACCATCATCCAATATAGCCACAGTTGACAAAAATAACAATATATTGAAATGCCAAAAACTTCTAAATTTTTAGCTGGAATTGACTGAAATCTGAAATGAAGTAACTGGATAAAAAGATTGCATGTTACTGTTAGCCTTGCCCTTCATTATCAAAGATGGCCACAGTTACTAAAATCTAACTTTGCTTAAAATTCCTGTGCATAGTTCAGCTCAACTGACAACCAGTTGAGCAATTTAAGGCTCCTGGAAGCCTCTGGTTTAAAATTTAACCATGGATTTATTATGTTATTATGCTGGTTTTAATCTGTTTTACAGGTGGCAGCAAGTTTTGATGGTGGTTGGCAGAAAAGAGGATCTGGATGGAATTATAACAGTAATACTGGTAATTGTGCTGGAAAATTTGACAATCAGCAAAAACTGTTGTTGTCTCTTGTAAATTATAGCTTTCAAATTATGATTTTAAAATAATTTGCAGAACTGCAATCTTGAAACCTAGTTATTACTTTTCTGTCAGTGACTTCATGTGCCTATAACTAATTACAGACTAAAGAAAGGATTTTCACAATTTTAAAAAGTAATGCTCATAGCTATAGGCTATGCCCTTGAATTACCATGTAATTTTCCTATTCTTTTAAATGAACCCTTATCAATTCATCTGTGTGTAACACCCTTGTTAGAACACTGGACTGAACATCCTTCCATGGATTTTGACCAAATTTTATACATATTTAATCTTGAAGAATATGTCAAGGGTCAGGGTCAAGGTCACTGTTTTAAACACCCTTATGAACACAAGAATCAACATTCTTAAATAGGTTTTTAAAAATTAAACTTTGTAAATACTTAGTACTAAGTAATATCTGGAACTGTATTGATTTTCAAGGTCAAAGGTCAAGGTCACGGATTCAAATGTAAACGAAGAGGGGATGTCACACTTCATATCAACCTTGTTGTCATATAAGCATAAAAAGTACATCTGACATAGAAATAATTTAAAGTATAAGAACATAAATATGCGCAAGCAAAAAGAGTCGCTAATTTAATAAATTTATTAAGCTGTCGTTAGCTCCAAAGACATACGGGAAACTGTTTTTATACGACCGCAAACAAATTTTTGTGGTCGTATATTGGTATGACGTTGGCGTCGTCGTCCGAAGACACATTGGTTTTAGCACTCTAACTTTAGTTTAAGTGAATGGATCTCTATGAAATTTTACCACAAGGTTCAATACCACAAAAGGAAGGTTGGGATTGATTTTGGGGGTTATGGTACCAACAGTAAAGGAATTAGGGGCCAAAAATAAGCATTTTTGTAACTTCCAGACATAACTTGTGTGTTAGTGTATGGATCTCTCTGACATTGTACCACAAGGTTCCATATCACAAAAGGAATGCTGGGATTGATTTTGGGGGTAATTGCCTCAAAATTTTAGGAATTAGGGGCCAAAAAAGGGGCAAAAAACAAGCATTTTTCTAGTTTCATGACAATAACTTGTGTGTAAGTGTATGGATCTTTCTGAAATTGTACTACAAGGTTCCATATCACAAAGGGAAAGCTGGAATTGAGTTTGGGGGTAATTGCCAAAACGTTTAGGAATTGGGAGCCAAAAATAAGCATTTTTCTAGTTTCCAGAAAATAACTTGTGTTCAAGTGTAGGGATCTCTCTGAAATTGTACTGCAAGGTACCATACCACAAGGGGAAGGCTGGGATTGATGATGGGGGTAATTGCCTCAATATTTTAGGAATTAGGGGCCAAAAAGGGGCAAAAAACAAGCATTTTTCTAGTTTCAGGACAATTACTTGTGTGTAAGTGTATGGATCTTTCTGAAATTGTACTACAAGGTTCCATATCACAAAGGGAAAGCTGGGTTTGAGTTTGGGGGTAATTGCCTTAAACGTTTAGGAATTTGGGGCCAAAAAGGGGCCAAAAAACACATTTTTCTAGTTTCCAGACAATAACTTGTGTTCAAGTGTATGGATCTCTCTGAAATTGCACTGCAAGGTACCATACCACAAAGGGAAGGCTGGGATTGAGTTTGGGGGTGATGAATCATAAGGGGGTTCAAAAAATTTTTGGGGGGGGGGGGATTTTTTTTTTTTTCCTTTTTTTCCTTTTTTTTTTTCTTTTAAAATTTTCCGTTTTAAGTTGGTTATTTCTGATTTATATTTAAAAGCAAATGATAATGATATGGTAGGAGATACACACCAAACAGGATGTGTAAATTATTATATAATAAGTATTGTGCAATAGCAAGAAATTTTCAACTGCAAAGTATTGCACAATAGCAAGAAATCTTCAATTGCACAGTATTGCGCAATAGCAAGAAATCTTCAGTTGCACAGTATTGCGCAATAGCAAGAAATATCCAATAGCACAATATTGCGCAATAGCAAGAAATTGTCAATTGTACAGTATTGCGCAATAGCAAGAAATATTTAATTGCACAGTATTGTACAAAAGAAGATACTTCGTATAAATTGCTTATTTCTTGACCAATTTCAATGGGATTTTATTCTTGAATTCTTGAGGTTCTTTAATATGCTGAATCTAACCGTGTATTTAGTTTTTGGATTTTGGGCCCCGTTTTTAAATTGGTCCACATTGAGGTCCAAAGGGTCCAAAATTAAACTTTGTTTGATTTCATCAAAAATTGAATTATTGGGGTTCTTTGATATGCCGAATCTAACCGTGTATTTAGATTCTTAATTTTTGGTTCCGTTTTCAAATTGGTCTACATTAAGGTCCAATTAAAGGGTCCAAAATTAAACTTAGTTTGATTTTAACAAAAATTGAATTCTTAGTGTTCTTTGATATGCTGAATCTAAACATGTATTTAGATTTTTGATTATGGGCCCAGTTTTCAAGTTGGTCCAAATCGGGGTCCAAAATTAAACTTTGTTTGATTTCAACAAAAATTGAATATATGGGGTTCTTTGATATGCTGAATCTAACCATGTATTTAGATTTTTGATTTTTGGGCCCTGTTATCAACTTTGTCCACATTGAGGTCAAAAGGGTCCAAAATTAAACTTTGTTTGATTTCATCAAAAATTGAATTCTTGGGGTTCTTTGATATGCTGAATTTAACCATGTATTTAGATTTTGGATATTGGACCATAATAGGTGAACGTCCAATTTAAAATTTTTAAGTTCTTAGACCACATTCATTCTGTGTAAGAAACCTATGCTGTGTCAAATATTTAATCACAATCCAAATGCAAAGCTGTATCAAGCTTGAATGTTGTGTCCATACTTGCCCCAACTGTTCAGGGTTCGACCTCTGCGGTCGTATCAAGCTGCGCCCTGCGGAGCATTTTATTTGTTACTTGGTTTAGAATAATGGATTTAGCATTATCACTATTATTCTTTATCAGAAAAATTTGAAAAAAAAGATTATCTAAGGCAATCCCCCTAAAAAAATGTAAACATAAATTGTGTGTCTACCAAGTTCAGCTTTTATCCCTAAATTAGAGGATGTCTTTCTAGTTCATAGATTATATTTACTGAAATTAACATGAACATTTTATAAGTACAATGAAGGTTTTAATTTTAACAGGCCATGCAACTATGATTGGAAAAGAAACTGGAAAAATAATGCTCTGGGATCAAAGAAGCAGATCATGCAAGACCTGTGAATACCATCTTGCAAATCAAACTCAGATTCCAGACCACCTTTGTTCTAAAAACTGGTATGGGTCAAGCAAGGCCATGGAATCAGATATGGCAGTATCGATGGCACACACTTTAAAAAATGAAGGGTGTGAAATAAAAGGTATGCTATTTGAATTGCATGTACATTTTACAAGGGAAATTTGGTTATAAAAGAAGAACTTGTCTGAAGTATATGGATGTCCCTATTTATATTGCCTACAAAACCTTGCTCAGCAGACAATTTCAATGCACTACATATGTTCCTATAGCTGAAATATTGCTCATTCAACTATATACAAATAATAGTATCCATTCATTATTCAGGTGAAGAAAGACTGTTTTTATATGCCCGTTTACGGGTCGTATTATGGTATACCGTTGACCGTCTGTCTGTCCGTCCGTCCTTCATCAACATGTTGGACATTAATTCAAAAGCGCTTTGATCAATATGCATGAAACTTTGGTGAATTGTTTATATCTATTGATGTGAGCTCCCTTTCATTTTGTATACATTTCAGATTTATCATTTCCGAGTTTTGGGGTTTAATTCATTAAAAAAGGGGTGATTTTCCCGCTTTCGGACAATAACTTAAAAACAATTTCACCAATTTGCATGAAACTTTTGTGAATTGTTCATATCTATTGACGTGAGCTCCCTTTCGTTTTTTTATAAATTTAGGATTTACTGTTTCAGAGTTTTGGGGTTTTATTAATTAAAAAAGGGGGGATTTTCCAGTTTTCATACAACAACTCAAAAACAATTTCACAAATTTGCAAGAAACTTTTGTGAATTGTTTATTTCTATGGACATGAGCTCCTTTTTGATTTTTATAAATTTCAGACTATACGTTTCTGATTTATGAGGTTTTATTCATTACAAAAAGGGGGATTTTCCAGTTTTCGGACAATAACTCAAAAATGCTTTCAGCATTTTTTATGAAACTTTGGTAAATTGTTTATATCTATTTTTTTAAGCTCCCTTTTCATTTTTATAAATATTCGATTTTATATTTCCGAGTTATAAGATTTTATTTGTTTATAGTCTGACAACAGATTTACTAAGTATTATGCAACAGCACAGTGTATTGCTCAACACAAGAAATCTTTCATATAGACAATTTCAAGTTCTTTGACTACATTTATTCAGAAACCTATAATATATCAAATATTTAATAACAATCCAAATTCAGACCTGTATCAAGCTTGAATATTGTGTCCTTTTTTGCCTAAACTGTTCAGGGTTGGACCTCTGTGGGCGTATCCAGCTGCGCTCACTGAAGCAGTTTATTTTTCATGCATCCATAACTGTTAAAATAAAAATGCCCAATGATATGAAATTTCTATAATGATCGCATGTTCTTTTATTCTTTTAGTGATACATGCTGACAATGATGCAGCTACCACTTCAAAATTGAAAGTTGATTTTGAAGATCTTGAAAAGAGAGATGATCAGAATCATTTGAAAAAGGGCTTATCAAAAAGTTTGCATCAAATGTCTGTAAAGTAAGCTATATAAATGTACCACTATGCATCCAATGTTACACTTTAGTAACTAATTATAATTAAACAAACAAAGTGTTTTTGTTTTTTTTTTACTTCAGATTTGACTTATAATCCTAAAGCAGAATTCCTGAACCTATATATAAAGAAAAGACGTGGTATGATTGCCAATGAGACAACTCTCCACAAGAGACCAACTGATACAGAAATTAACAACTGTAGCTCACTGTATAGCCTTCAACAACGAGCAAAGCCTATACCGCATAGTCAACTATAAAAGGCCCCAAAATGACAAATGTAAAACAATTCAAACAAGAAAACTAACTGCCTAATTTATGTACAAAATAATGAATGAAAAAAACAAATATGTAACACGTCAACAAACGACAACCACTGAATTACAGGCTCTTGACTTGGGACAGACACAGTATGTTGGTTGAATGATGTGTAATTTTCCAGTGATAAATTTGAAAAAAAATATTGACAACATTGAAAACATTGTTTTTGAAACACAAACCCAAAACAAAAACAAAATTGATATTTTTTTAGTTAATTGAATAAACAAAGGTAATAACTAATTTAATTTGAAGGTACAAGGAACTTAAACAGGATGATACCAGAGAATATATACTAAGATGTTTCATGTATGCAATTACGGGAGGAACAACTGAAGATGATATAAAAGTATCTCTAGACAGAATTGTACCACATATATTTGGCAATCATGACAGTTGCAGAGAGGTCACATGGTGTAAATATAAGGAGAATCCAACAAATTTTAAGTAAGATTCTAAGATTCAGACAAGGTACTAAGTATGGGTAAAATTCTAAATTATCAATGACCAATAAACCTTCTTTACAAAAAGTCTTAGAAAACATATGAAATCTTTAGTTTTATTATGCTAGTAGCATAATAAAGCCTCTCTCTGTAAACAGGGTCATCAGATATCCTGGAGTCTGTGTTAACTTCTATGTAATAAAAACCTAAAATATGTTTTATTTATCATGTTCCTGTTAACCTAATAAACTTTAAGGCTCTTGCCATTTCCTGCAGTTTTTTTTCTGACTTTCCTAATACCAAAACTATTTTTAATCTTATTTAAACTTTTTCCATTGGAATTATCCACATAATGTAAATTCAGAAATTATTGTGCGCATTTATGACTGCGATTTTGTCATTTTAGACGAAAATGCAATTTTAATTTTTGTGATATTGAGAAATATCTTGTTTAATTCATATAAAAAATTTCAGAATGCGAGTTAGAATTAAATAGAGTTTAACCCTGTCACATTTTTCGAAATAATTTTTGAATTTAAAGTAATATAAAAGTAGCAGAATGATAATAATAAGCCTTTACTTTATTGTTATGAAACAATACTTTATTTATTTGACACGGTCTCTGAAAAAAAACCAAGGAGCTTCAATTGAGCTAGATGTTTTCTAATGCTGGTCAAATTAATTCAGTATTGTTTGGCTGTAACCATGTGTTGTATATGTATTGATGTAGCATGCAATACAATTATAGGTATAGGAGCCTTCCAGGTGGTAATCCACTAACAAATGAATCCCTGAAAGAAGAACTATTGGTATTGGTATCAAAATATACGTCTCGGTCTGATGCTATAGCAGAATTAGGATCAACACAGGCAAATGAAAGCTTCAATCAGATGGCATCTTCAAAAGCACCAAAGTCAAGGTAAACACACATAAATATATGTATACTGCAACTAGTGCATTTACAGTCTATATTCAGTTGTAGACTTAAAAAGGTATCCTGGTTATCTACCACGATGTAGTCTATTTAGAGCCTATAGTATTAAACTAGTTATTTGTAACCCAGTAATCAAATTGAGAATGGAAATGGGGAATATGTCAAAGAGACAACAACCAGACAAAAGAGCTCATACAAATTAATTTTATATTTGCCAACAATGAACATGTATTGTCTATATTTATTAATAAATCTGATTATGTAAAAATGAAAGGTCACCACTTTACTTAATTCAGGTGATAGATTACTCAATTTGCTGGCTCCTTGGAACCTCTTATTTTGTATGAAATTTTGTCTAATATACATTCTGCATATCTTTTTCTTTCATTGAATGTATAGAAATTGTATATTTCAGAAATTATGGAGGATCATGTTCCCTTAAAAACAGACTATCTGCTGCAGTTCTTCAAAAAAATGAAGGCTACAGCTACTTGCCTAAGGTAAAATAAAACGTTATGTGTATTTATGTTTATTTTTCTTTATGTGTGTAAGGATTAATTTAGAAGATATTGGTTTTATGTTTTATTAACACACATCTTTTGATCATATTTCCCCATGTTGGTCTCACCTAGCTCAGCTCTTGCTAGACTTTATGAAATGTCAAAGCTAAAGATATTGCAACAATTCTGATAGCTTGAAATCTTTAGTTATTTGTGGTTTGACCAGGCAAATTGCTTCAGACAAATCCCTTAGATCAGATATATTATGTCTATAAAAACTCTGTATTATTTTATGTCGATATATTAGCTGTCTTCAAAAATCATTTTAGCTCAAACTCCTTGTCCCCTTACCACAAATGATATAAACTTGATGCAAGTTATCCATGTAATAACCTGATGGTAAGTTGTAACTTCATATTCTACTGTATAAACATGATAAAGGACATTTTTTAGAAACATGGCATTGTTTTTGACAGGAAAAATTAGATACTGACCTCAGCTCTGACTCAGTCAATATTAGTGTTTTTTTTTGTCAATACCATTCTAACCACTTCAAATATTCAAGATTGTATAATATCGATGTCTTTAATTTATAGCTATATTGTTAAATCTTCTTTTTGTCTTATTTGCATTATAAATCAATTGTAATTTTTAGGTTAATGAGGCTTCAAATCTCTCTCCTGGTGATTTTACCACATCTTTGACATCAAAAATGGATGCAAAAAGAAAGAAAAGAAAGCAGGCATCGAATAAAAAAGAAATTAAGAAAAGGAGGATTTCCTTAAAGAAAAAAAAGAATTTAAATGAAAGGAAAAGCACTATTAAAGAGGGACCCACTTATGAGACACAATTTGAACTAAACATGGATAACACAGAAAATGTTCCTCAGATTCCTCAGCAAATTATGATTTCTGGTTCAGAAAGCAAAGTATTCTTTGACTTGGAAACTACAGGCTTAGGAAGGAATTGTGACATTACACAGATTGCTGCAAAAAATGGTGAGAATGTATTTCAGAAGTATGTAATTCAAAGGGTTGACATACAAATTGAGGCAAGCAGGGTCACTGGCATTACATACAGTCAGAGTACCAACATTATGTACGTTCATGGAGAAAAAGTGGAACCAATTTCTATACAGAAAGCACTGTTAGACTTTTTAGAATTTTTATCTGTTTTAGAAAAACCTATTTTAATTGGTCACAATATTTGTAATTTTGATATACCTATTTTAGTCAGGAAACTTAAAGAATCAAATTTATACACAACTTATTGCAAACTAGTAAAGGGTTTTGTTGATACTTTAAAATTGGCTCGTAGAGTTATTAACAAGGATGAGGTTGTGAACTATAAACAACAAACACTTGTTGAAAATTTTTTTAATATCTCATACTCTGCTCACAATGCTATTGAAGATGTGAAGTCTCTTCAAAATCTTTTTGATGTAAAACTGTTATCTTTTTTTAATAATGTTGATGTTTATTCACTTATTTAAATTCTCCCTCATGAATTCGTCCGAATTTAAAACATTTCTATACTAAATACATGGCTAAATAAGAGACAAGTCATAATTTAGGTTTGTTTGCTCGCAGTAACTTTCTTATTTTCTCAGCGAAACAACATTTAATATCTTGTAAACATTTTACAAATTACAAAAATATACCACAATTCCATCTATATACATTCACAATGTCCTCTAAATACATATCAATACAAACATAACTGTAATATATTATGCAGAGCTTAACGTTAACTTTGTCTATCAAAGTTACTGGAGCACATCGATAATAATCAAACGTAATCAGGACTTATATATGCCTATAAAACCCCACCCGTACTACCGCCCTCGAAATATTCGTGCAGAAAACAACAGTAACATCAGACCACTTCTGATTTACATACTAGCCAAACTTGTACCACAAGTCTAAAGATAGAAATAGAATAGGGAAATTCCAAATATAACGGAATAGAAATAAATGTATCACACTTGTGTGGTCGTCTTATGCAGAATTTATTAAGAAAAAAATAATAACAAAACCAGCAAGTGTATTACTGGCAAGACATGGTGTTTCTTTTGAACACATCAAGACTGTATACAACAGGGATAAAAAGGGTGTGAAATTTTTATTTGAAGAATACAAAATTTCACAAAAGATTGTTAATGCCATCAATACTTTTTTGGACGAAGAATAAAGAGAAACAATATTGAAAATAACCTGACTACATGACATAAACATGGTGTAGTATTTGAATCTTATTAAAAATATACCAAAAAAGTGACATAATTCTGTCAGTATTACATGTATTTTAATGGTAATCTAGATGTTTATGAGTATGTTTTATGAGTAAGTTATAAACAAAATGGGAAAGTGAAACAAAACAGTATTGATATCTTTTTTTAAAACCTCTGAAGTCAGAGTAAATTAACAATATCTTAATGATGTTAAATTATCCATTCACAATGTTTATTATTTATACTGCATTATATCATATATGCATATATGTTGCCAGCTATCAAGTCTCCTATTTCTTTTGAGGCTTCCTATATTTTTCTATTTTGGGACATGTACTCCCAATATTTCCTATATTTGAATAAATGCTGTATTCCATCAAATTGTATGATTTTTTAGAAGACAAAAATGGTGAGAGTATAGTTTGGCTGTAAGAGGAGGTGGAGGCCAGCCATTATAAAATTCTGAAATTGAAACAAAATCTGAAAGTTCCTTAAAAATGTCATATTTTAATGCATTTTCCCTACAGGTCTGTCAAAACAGGTCTATATATAACTATGCATTAGTACTATCAGGAACATGCAGCAGTTCATCAT